GAAGGCCTCTGCCTCCTCCCCGCACTCCGACTGCGCTAGCTTCTCCAATTCTCTCCCACTCTTCTAACCCCTTTCGAAAAGCCGACTCCCCGCCCCTTCCCGTCTGCGCACATTCTCCTGCGCCGCCCGCTGCAGCATTCCGTCCTATTTCAATCGCTGTCCTCCACCCCGCCCGCCGCCACCCACCTGGGCTCGCATTCTGCCGCCGCTACCCTCTCGGACGCCAATTACACCACCAAACGACCCGTGCTTGCCGCGCAGCGGAACCTCTCAGCCCCACGTAGCCCGCTGCTTCGCCGCCGCCACCTACGCCCTTCTGCCTTCCGCCATCGAAGCCCGCCCGGTCCCATCCGCTTCTGCCTGACCCCGCCACCGCCATGGTGCTCGCCGTTTCTGACGACGTACAGGAAATTTTGAATTGCGTGATTTACTTATTGTAGAATGTGACCGCCCAATTTATTGGAGCAGGGCACTGTAATCTCCCAGGCTGCCGCTGGATTGGTGAGTCTTGTAAAGTTTGGTGTCCATCTGGACATGGACTGGACCGCCTGTAAATCTATGACATGGACATGCGTCTCAATTTCATGCTTCATCAGCACCGAGCGGTGCCGACACTGCACGTCCGCTTTCTCCTTCTGTTCTTCTGTTCCGCACTTCGATTTTGATCCAGCTCTTTCCACTCAGCCTCCCTCCCCTGCTTTGTCAACGCCAACTTGCAGTTGGTTATTCTCGAAGCTGCTCACCAGAGCGGTTCTTCGCTTTTTGCTCTCGACGTGCGCTCTTGCGACGTCGCATCCCCGTCGTGATCAGCTTCTCCGCCACTCCTTCTCCCTTCCGCTGTCCTCCCTTCGAACGCTTGTTGCTCCTTCAACCTGTCGAAGGAACTGCAACCACCCGCGTGCCCTCTCTCGCTGCTACAACACCATCCGATGTCCACACCACTTCGCCAACGTACTTCTCAGTCCATCTTGTCAAGTACAGAAGTAGATTATGAAACTGCCCGGCGGGCTCCTCAAGAGGCATGGGACCATATATACGAAATGAGCCCCTCAGAACGCGAGCGGCACTTCGGTGGAACGGACAGGGCATGGCGTCAGAAGATGGACATGGGCCGTTCAATCTGCAAGCTGTTCGTTGAATGGACAAGGCGCGGCCCATATCACGATGTCGTGCCGAGGAGTACCAGCGCGGAGGGAGCAGAGAGTGTTCACAAGTTTGATGCTAGCTCAATCACAAGTGGCGTTGTGGTACTGCGGACCATGGAACAACGGGCACAGGCAGCGTTCCGGGCATATAAAGACACGTTCCCAACTTCAATATGGCACTGTTGTCGCCGTTTTTGCTTTACATGTATTGCTATCGATCCTGAGAAACTGTTTCTTCTCGAAGAGCTGAGGCTGATTCATCAAATTGCAGAGCGGATGCATGCGAATATCCAGAACACTTCCGGCTTGGTTGAGACGAGGCGCAAAGGAATCGGAGGTTCTTATGTGGGGTTCGTTGCTCTTTCTCGGGAACAGAGAGAAATCGATGCAGACGCAAACGCAACGGGTCAAAAGCGTTCACTGCGCAAGTTTGCCGACTTTGTCGTCAGGGTACTGCCATTCTTGTACGGACTAGAGAACGCGCCGAGCGGTACGAAATGCCCGCCCGAAAAACTATGCACAGAGGCAATCTGTTGTCTACTCGGTGTCTCGCGCAAATTTCTCTACGGCAGAAAGAAGACCACGTATTTCGGAGAGTTGTCTACTGTACCCAGCGAGCAAGAGCTGTTCTGTATCGTCGACACAGCCGGTATTCGATTGAGGCAGCACCGAAGAGTGGGAGATCGTCTAGGGTACCCGGTGATCGATGACCTGCCGACGTTCGATTGCGGTTGTAGCGAGCCCTGTCTGCAGGATTTGAACATAGTATTTCTGACAAACGAGTACAACTCATTCTCACGTTGTGCGAGGGAGTTGAATCCGCGGCGAAACGAAAATCGGCACCTTCTCAACGTCATGTTTTGCGCCCTCAGCAACTCGCCAACCAAAGTTTGTGACTCAGCCCTCTCAGCCCTCTACACTATCTCAAAGGAACATGTGTCCGACGTTCGTATTGCGCTCCAGGCTATGTGCAATGACCCTTCAGTTGAGCATCGTGCGTTTATTGAGGGAGGTGTCGAAGGGTACAGGAAGCACGGCGGGCATCCCATGAACAGATACCCTGACAAAATCCGCGAAAAAGTCGAGAACCATCTGGATATGGTCTTGCGCGCCGATCCTGCGGGCTCAAATCGTCTCAACATCTGCAGAGTTTATTCGCCAGAAATCAATACCAAGGAGAAACTCCGAAAAGTGTTAGCGAAGGCTCTTGATGACGATGAAGACGTTGAGGGCCAGCTGTCTCAGTCGACATTGCAACGAATGGTAGACAAGTACCTGGAGGTACGCAAGTGCGCCATTGAGTTTAACCAAAGCGACCACAACGCTTGTCCAAACTGTAAGACGTTGAAATATGCGGTCCTTCACTTTCATTTCGAATCTAAGCAACTGGAGCAGAGCTACAAAGAGCAGTTCTGCAGTCTCCAGAGGCCTTTTCAGGAGGATTTGCAAGAAAGTTCGGACAGATTTATTTGTAATATTGAAACAAAACATTTCCAAGAGAGAGAGGTGTTACGAATGTTTGTTGAGCACAACGAAAGAGACGCCATGATCCGGGCCGCTGTGAAGGAATGGAGCGACTTTTTTCGAGACACTGAAAATAGTTACCGAAGATTAAATGTATGCGGAGATGGCTGGACTTCACTGCAGAACCATGCCGTCGTCACGCATCAGGACGATATGACAAAAGTTGATCTTCCCCACTTTGTGGTCAATGCGTCTGCAGATATCACAAGATGGCGCTTCGATGTGAACGCGCATGTGAGCGCAGTGACCAAGGACGCCGTGATATTTTCCCATGAACAAGGGACCGGGTCGAAAAATGCCTCTGCGATAATTGAAATGATTCTGATCGACCACCTCGTCCGGTGTAAGGGCGAGTCAATTAAGATCGTTGTGTCGGATAACGCATCAGTTGGAAAGAACTGGCTCAGTAGTATTGTCCTTCCGCAATATATGGTAGATCAGGGCCTTGCTGATATTGTAATCGTCGTGTTTCTCGAGAACAATCATGGCAAGTGGTTGGTAGACATGCTTTTCGGCCAATGGCAGACTCGTCGAAGAAGGAGCACTCTGCTGAGCGTTGACGATCTTCTCTCTGAGTTCGAGGCAGTGCGTTGCCGAGGTGGGAAGGTTCACGGATTTGCCGCCAACCCATTAAGCAGCATCGATTTCGCTGCTGTCTTTGCGTCTTTGGGGTATCAGATTAAGCCGCCAAAGGACTTCGGTTTCGTTAAGAGGAACATTCACTTCGCGACAGCATGTCGTCAAAGCGCAAAGCGAAGACTGTCTGATGAGGTGAGAAAACGACTCGGTCCTGCTCTACCAGATGCGGACGGAATGGTCAGGATATCCTCGTCACCGCCATCCCATCGTCCTATAATGGAGCTGCCTTATGAGGAACGTTACGTTGAAGTCCCTGCTGCGTGCCTTTCAGATTCCCGCCGTGCAAGTACTGCACAAAGTCTGCGAAATTTGGAGGGACTTCATCAAGGGCCCATACCGATGGTCGCAGTTGCACTTGACCAGCCGTTGGCATCGAGCGGGAACGGTGTGGTGTCTCAGAGGACGGCCAATCACGTGGGGTTCAACGGCCTTTCATTTCGAAGCGCAAATGGGTATCCCGAGCTGCGAAACAGCTCTTCCGACATTGTCCAACGAGCGTGGCCAGAGGGATTGAGACAACCGTACAGCATATTAGAATCTGGAGAGCCAGTGTATGGGGTGGAAAGCGTGAAGTGCGCTCCGGAGAACTGGATCCTGCGCCGACCCGTCAGTCACTTTGGGAATGACCGAGATCGGAAAGCGCGTTACCCGCCACGGAACCTTCTCAACGCCAAGTTTGGTCGGGGTCCTAGGGCAAAAGACACCTGGTCTCCGACGAGCACGTATGAAGAGCCCCCATTTCCACTCATTGAACGGACCGCGGCTTACCAGGGAATGAAGAATCTTGCCATGAAAAGGGCGGACATATCGGAATCTGTCAACTTGCTCGACGCGCTTCGAGAAGTGTTCGAGTCCATGGGCGACAGGGACGGGGTTTCTGACCCATGGCTGCAACGAAGGGCGACCATGCCAGATAGGGCGGCTGTAGAGGCATACAGAAGTGAATTGTACACCTTCAACATGCGCTGGAGGGGGAACCGTCCGCACCAAAGACGGTGCGCCAAGTCTTCAAACAGGATGAAGAAATTAGGAGGCGGGTTACGCAAGTACTACAGGAGCGTGGTCAGATGTCGTCCAACAAGACATTGAGGACGGGTGTCCTTTCGCAGCTTTTCGAAGAGTGCTCGAACAAGCCAGGTGGACTAGATCGTTACCTTCATTTGGTAGAGAAGGACCACGAGAGGTACGCGTGCGAGTTTCAGGCTTTCAAGGAGATCATAAATCGCTTCGATCGCGACAATGGCCTACTACCCCGGATACCGTCTGATAATGTAAACCAAGGATACTAGAAGTTTGATGCTCTGTCCATTGCAAGAAAGAGAGGCGAGAGCGAGCGCGTGGATTCCAAAGCTATTGCAAGCTCTCCCGGCGAAAGGCCTTCTCGTAGAAAGATTGAAGAAAATGGTCTTCCTGGCTCATGCTCACGTGAAAGCTATCCCGGGGGTATGCTGCATCCCTAATCTAGGGATCTATGCACAACAGGGCTCTGTCTCGAGACGTCTTTTGCCACAGGGGCCACTCTCTAGTACCGGTTCCAGCATTGCGGTTGCAGTGGTCAAGACGGGCACAGCAGTCGACGCGAAAGGGCGCCCGTGCGTTGGTGGTAGTCCGCGCGGCTGCGCCGGTCTGGCTGCTCCTGCTGACGCGCGAGGCGGGCGCTCGGAGCCGGGCGGGTTGTCAGAAGACAGGCCCCTAACAGTCGTTGTCGAAGACGAAGAAGGAGGGGCAGACCGGGTTGGTGACGGTGCGGTTGAGGCAAGAGTTGCCGGAGCCCAAGAAATAGCTCTGGTCGTACTCTGGGCGCACGTCGCGCCACGGCTTCGACCGAGCCCTGAGACGGGCGCCTGGCGTGGTGCGGCGAGCAGAGCACCCACCGCGCGGACTGCGGGTGCTACGTCTCTGACATGGTGGATCGGTGGGAGGAGGGTAGAGATCGGGGCACTGATATGCGGAATGGATGGGGACTGGGCATCGTTGCAGTACACTTGGAGGCATATCTGGCGAGGTCCTGAATAAGAGTTTGGCGTTTAGGGACCGACTGCATTTCAAGAGTGCCTTCAGTGAGAGGCTCACCTTGGCCTTGTCAAGGGCAAGCCGTTTATGGCTCAGATGAGGATCGCCTTCCAGATGCCGAGCTGCCTCTACTTGGTCACCAATTTTTACGAGGGCGGTGACCAGTTTTCCTTCGTTTGCTCCAACCACGAGAATGTGACAGAGAGCCAGGCGACCAGTATTATCTCCGAGGCGGTCGTTTCCCTGCAGAGCATGCACGAAATGGGCATTGTGTGTTGTGACTCTTTATTTCAATTCTGGTCGGGATCCACCCAACGCATTTCTTCGTACGACTTTAGGCCATATAAACTACGAACCGTTGCTATCTGATCGCTGGTACGCTTCAGACTCCTCTCTATTTCTGAATGATCATGCCCTGCATTCGTGTTGAAAGCTTTCGCGTGTGCATAGGCCATAATATTCTTGACCAAAAGTGGAGCAACCACTTGCCCATTTTTGTATTTCTCTCTAAATGCCCCAACGACAAACTGGAACTTCGAATCGAGGCGCTCGTCGAATAGCATACAGAGCACCAGGAAGACGTCATCACAGTATGACAGCTCCAAGTAGTGCATCATAAACCGTAGCATGTCGTCATTTGGTCCTCCAAGTAGCGAATTGTGAGATAATGACTCTGACTGAAGAGTGGTACCTGTACTTGTGCTGGCGACCTCCAATGCACCGCTACTCGTCAGAGCCCCATCGCCACTTTCTCGAATATGAATCGGAGGATCCCTAGACCCTTCTATACCTACATAATTTACAGCGCTGCTTCCGTTGGCAAGCGGTTCCACATGCTTACCGTTCTCACCTTCGACACCTTGGCGCTGCAATGCCCCGCCGACATTTTGCGTACGCACGACTACGTGTGCACGTTCCGACGATCCCGTCAACAGCTGCTGACTACTTTCCAATGGAAAACCAACGTAGCCTGCCTCCTTGTTCGACAGATATTTGTACTTTTTAATTGCTTCGACACAGACTGAGAGCGACTCCTGCAATGAAAATGAGAGCACGCCAAGGCCACTCAACCGCTTCAGCCACTCGATGAGGGGATTCATCTCCGAGGTTGTCCGCGTCAAACAGGGAAATCTTCTGTAGCGGTAGACTTTCACTCGGGATTTGCATGCATCCGGAGTCGCCGCATCACACGTGCAAATTCTTACAAGTTGAGTGGGATTTCCGAGAAGTCCTTGGATTTCGTAGGTTTTCTGGAGGGTCGTAGAGCGGTCATTTCTACCAAGCAAGTACTTGTCCTTAATTATGTTTTCAAAAACCTCCACAAATGGACCACTGCGCGACGAGAAAGGAATGAAATCGCGTTGCTCTCCCGGAACGAAAAAAACTCCCACGTAACCTGAAAAGTACTTCTCTTGCGCGTTTCGGCGTTGCGCGCGATATCGGCGGTTTCTGGCAAGACGATGCGACGCTCGCGGATCTCGGCGCGTGGCATCAATTTTGGATGCCCTGAAGCGTCCGTCGGCTCCACGCGGTTTGTTTCTGCGCGTAGATGTGAACGCATGTGCAGAATCAGGTCGCAAATGTGATGAATCCATTGGGCTTCTAGAAGCCTATGCCGGTATCAGGGTGAGAAAAAGGAGAGGATGCGACTGGCTTAACTGCATCAGTAGGACTGGAACACCAGAGGATTGATATTTGAATAATGGCAAGTGGTTCGGGAATGGCAAAGCTAGATACACAATTGAATCGAGAGAGCTGCTTTAAGTCTGCGTATCAATGCGTGACGGATTGCACAGAAAAAAACATGTGCGGCCATACGTTTGACTTTTTAAATGACTCGAGAGAGGTTAAACTTCGCCAGATCTATGTAAAAAATGGAGGCTACGGCATGATTTGAAATAGAGGCATACTCTCTAGAAGGGCACTGAGGGTGCCGGTACGTGTGAATTTACTGCGTATCGACACAGCAGGAATGATTTTGCACAGAACATTTGCACCCTGAATTTTAATTGGCTGTGTCGGTAGAGTTAGAGGGCACGTGGAGCTACAGTCTCAGGGTTTGTTTTCGTCGCGTGCGGCAAAAAGATAACTTTATTTAGTCGTCTCAGAACCGTCTTACAGCGTATGCAGCGACCCCTACCAAAAACCCCGGGGAATTAACGACAGCAATGCACGTCGCGACAACCCTCTCAGTCCAAGTGGACCCCCTCAATTGGAAACCCGTCAAGAGCCATTTGGTGCGGGAGCGCGAATTCTTGTGGTACTTATACCTGCAATTGGTGGAAATTTTATTGGCAATTTTAGATTTGGCTAATAATACTGAGCAAAATCAAAGAATTGTGCATTGCTGGCATCTCCAAATATGTGCTCAAGACTCAAAAATGATTACTGTGGTACAGTCGGTAATTGTCGGAAGTGTACACCATATTATCTGAGTTCGATTCCTACAATAGCCGGGCAGCTGTTGAGAAGGGGTGTCAGGGAAGGCGGGGAGACAGTCAAAGAGACGCAGGGATGGAACGAGGAGGAGCGGGAAGCTAGTGAGAGTGCGCAGCGTTAATGTCCGGAGGATGGCGGACAGGGCGGGATAATACGCAAGTGGGTGCAATAATTGAAAGAGAGCACTGGGTCAGGTCAGAGGCCGGCGTAGGGGGTGGGGTCTGGGAGTGGTTGGTTGTGGGGACTGTGTGTTGGGATTGTGTATTATGTTTATGCGTGCGAGAGTATCAGCAAAGCCCTAACGAGACCGCTGTTTCCACTGTACCAGCTCCAAACGATTCTATACCACCTAACTGTTTGTTTGTGTACTTGGATGCGCTTCCAGTGAATTGTCTTTGTCTTCCGGGGGAAAGAAAAGAGCCTCAACGTCCGTGCCCCACCACTACTTGTCTTCCAAATACGCCGCCGTTTCTGTGGGTGTTACCGGCCCATCCACTTCACTCAGATAATCCAAGAGAGACTCACGCGCTTTCGAAGTCCAGAATTGAAGGTCTTTGTGCTCGCACGAGCACAAAGACCTTCAATTCTGGACAGCTGGTGCGAGCACCAGATCATCACCTCGAGGACCTTTTCCATACGTAAGCAATTTGTAACCAGCTCGATTAGCTGTAATGATATCTTCCAACTGAGCCACTTTTCCACAAAACCGAAAAGAATCGGCAAACCATTGCTAAAATGTTTGCGGAAATTTTAGGCGAAACTATAAACGTCCGGGCAAGTTTTGGAAAGACGTGGTCACAAGCATAACTGGACTTACAGTGACAGGTATTTCCCGTAGCGATTCCATCATGCTTCGTCCACTGTTGGCAGTAGCGCACCAATGATATTTAAACGAATAACAATGCGCTACAACACGGCATACCAGGCGAGCTGAGTCATGGACGCAACACCAGGGGCAAAAATGAGACGGGGCCAGGGCCAGACGTCTCGGAGCGGATGACCGCGCAGGACCTATTCTCCTGATCGCGACTCTATCAGTTGCTTTTGTGTTTTATTCGAAAATGAGGGGCCCCTAGTAGTGTAGATGGGCTACAGGGAAACTATCAATATCAAATGGGAAATGAATCCATAGCAAAGGTTGGAAGGCACTGGTACCGTGTGGGGAGGTTGTCGAAGTTCTCTGCGTCTATGTAAGAAGGAACTTGTCAGAAAGCTATCGGTCGCGAGTGACGTACACTGTACGCTAAACGCAAAAGAGGGTATCGGACCACATTAAACGGACTGCATTTAAGTAGAATTCAGCTTTCAATCTATCGTGCATGTGCTACAGAAAAATGTTTAGTAGTGTTGTCTTAAGACATTCCATATGATACAGAACAGTAAAGGGCCTTTCATACTTCGTAGCACCACCGCAAGCACCGGTCACTGCATTCATGCGTCGTAGGAAGATCTTGTGAGACCTGAATAAGGGGATTGACCCCTCTGTAGCCAATGCCTCTTCAATACCTCCCTTCAAGTCCTCCACGTTCTCGTAATAATCCCCCAGCGCGTAGACGGTGCTAGCCATATCACACGAGACGTTCTCTATAACGATGATATCCGGAGACTTGGCAGGCCACGGAAGCGTAGTAATACAGAGTTTTGAGGGCCAAGGATTGGTAAAATTAGAGGTATGAATTGGAGCATTATCTTGCTAAGAGAGCTCCATTTGAGCCCCTCACCAAACAATTCACCAGCAAACGGTAGTAGTCCATCCCTTAGAACTTTGCAATCCTTAGAAGCATTCTGACGGCTATCCATAAATATTAACGGTTCCACTCCATATCGAACCTATTTTCTTTATGCGTAGCAGTAATTTGTGGTGCCGTTATCATCTTCTTATGTTTTTGAATAGGGTACAGCGCCTGGCTGTAACGGTTGAAGGAAAAGCACAGTATGCATGTATTTGTAATTGTAATTTGTATAAGCATACTGTTCGTGTCGTTCCAGAATGGACTGACCCCTCAACTCTCTAAAAGGATGGCATAGAATTACACTATAATTTCTTTGCCATATCTAGGAGACTTGTCAAAGAAGGAGTGCAGTATCCAGTAGTACCAAAGAGGATGGTCGGGGAGATTGAAAACGAAGAACATAGGCAGTTGTATGGAAATTAGTTCTAGACTGAAGTTATTGTTTCTTATAGTGTAGCATCTACTGTATTGTTCTAAGTAGCGACTAGGATCTCTATAAAAGGCGAGGACTTCGAACGACGAAAGCAAAAGGGGCAAGCACAACCACTCACTAACACTGAGAGCTACTCAACCTGCAACCCCAAGTGTGTCCAACTTAAGAACCACTTTGCAAAAACGATTCAACACAAGTAAGTCACTCTGCTCATTTTATTAACCCTGTGCACCACTAAACTAGTACATCCTGAACGCGCCTGTTTCCAATAATGAGTCTTCGCTCAGTTTGAATAGTTCTGGCACCATCTTGTCCCTGTAATGTCATACGGATCATACCCCGCTTTTGTGTTTCCAAGATTTTTCCGTTCCATTTCCACTTTTTAGGCCCTCTACGTTTAAACCTGGACGTCCAACTCCTTGATCGGCCCCCAAAGAGCGATTTACCCTATCTGAAATCCTTATAAATGACACAAATTCGCTGTGAAGAGCAAGAATTTGCCCCGTTCGAATTCGGTGATCGCTGGTCTTCGACGCAGTTCGAGCCTTGTTCAAGCTGGTGAAGCATGTGGAATAGTAGAAGGGAGCCACAGACCGTCTACTGCTATATTTTATTTGAGTTTTAACGCGTAGCCTTTCTGCTTTGGAGCGACAAAGCTACTGCACTATATGGAATTTTGCGTATTTATGCCAATTTCGCGCGGTTTCATAGAGGTTACTTATCAACTATAGCATTAAGATCTTCTAGCCATGACGGGCAGTTCTACACTGTTTCGCTGCTTCTGTGAGAAAGGTTTTTGTCTGCAAAGAGTCTAGGAAGTGACTTTTATGTTGCTGTCGATGGGTGTTTATTACTTATTGCAGTTTCGCGCACTGTACTACTCAGGATGGGCCCGACTCATCTGCCTATGATGTGCCACAAGCGAAGATCCACTGGTTATCAGATGCGCGAAAAATAAGAACACTTCTGCGCAAAGCAGTCGATCTCGGCACTGTAAACCTTGATGGCATGCGGGGTTCGGTCTTCTGACAAGTGGTAGCTGTACTAAGTTTATTTTCTCCGTGAACCCTCGGGACTTAGGGAGGGTCTTAACTTGCCCGAGTTTGCCCGGGTTTGCTTGCCCCGAGCCATGATTTGCACTACTATTGGCTACTGGGCGTTAATATATGATTTGAAACCAAGTACGACCCTACACTGCAAGCTCAAGTTATGTCAGTGTGTAATGACAAATGTCAATCATATATTGGCTACTTTTGTAAGTTTGTAACTTTCGAATTTGGACGCTGTGCTCCGGTGGACGCAGTGCTTGCCCCTTGCCGAAAACATCCTCAACTCCCCCTTTGCAAAAATCTATGCACCTGCCATCTCGCAAAGGCAACCCAACTCTACGAAGCACCTCTCTGCCGACTACTTTCCTGAAAATGGCTTCCACACCTCAATGCCACGTGCGCCGTTCTCCGCGCCTCTGGCGCATCTCCCTGACTCCCACCATTCGGAAGACAGGGGCCACCAACGCAAAGTCTCTCACTATTGCTTCCTCGTCTGCAGCGGACGTTTCTGACCAAATATTATCCCCCCCTCCATACGGTATGTACGACTGAATTCTTTGTCGTTAAAAAATCCTGATGGCTCTGGCAAAAGTCCATCCCCGTCCGAGATCTAAGGGCTTTGTGAATTTTCGGGGTCGAGGATAGTTTGACATAGCTTGGTGCAATGAAAGGAGGGAGAATAGAGCTGCGGTTGCGGTTAGTGCGGTCGTAGCAGTGATGATTCTATTGCCGTGCATTGCGTAGGAGTGATTAGATTGAGAAGAAAGGAGGGGAGGCGAACGGCGATACTGGGCAGTGGTTGTAGATCCGTTTTTTGACCAAACAGCGCCGGCGATAGATACGCTATCCCGCGGAGTAGTAAGGAGAGAAGTAGGGGGTGAGATCAATTATTTATCCCGGTGATCTGGGATCACCCGCAATGGCCACGTTCTGGGTCGGAAGCGAGCGACGCTGCAGCGTCTCGCGTCCATGTCGACGCGTCCCTGGGGCGAAGTTGTTTGACGCTGCAGCATGTCACGTCCCTGTCGATGCGTCCTCGGAGCGAATTTGTAGAACCCACAGTGTCCTCCCCGTTGCGTTCAGGCAATTTATGGCGCTGTATGCCTCTGTAAGTCAGCACCGTCGCTCTGGGACACCTGTCCACTACTAACGTAAGGAAAAGGACACCTGTCCACTACTAACGTAAGGGGAAGGCGTGTACTTACATTAATAAATTAATAAATGACCGGCAAACTCGGGCAAGCAAAGCAAACCCGGGCAAGTTAAGACCCTCCCTTATATCCTAAAGAAACTACGTGCTCCCAAGCTCCAGGGCAGTGTTCTCTACTGAATCAAACTAAAGACGGCTGACCGGTATTTTGACCGGTATTCCCCCTGCTGCTTGAGGGAGGAAGATGTGATGACACGTAATGCAGCTTCTGCACTTACAGTACCGGATCGTCGCTGATCGATGGGACTAAATCGGCTGGGGGATGTGTCACAAGTTGTATGCGTGTACACGTATAGAAGATCCCGCAATGCTACAGTACACACGATGCTATGGTAGGAATGAATTGGGGCACTGGCACATGTGCGCAGGGAAATGGCAATTTGCGGCCTGATTCGCAACGTACGCTACAGACCACCAGCGTTTCAATGGTATTCGCGACCGTTGACGATACCGACACGGCTTGTGTACACAAGCCGTGTCGGTTTAATTATAAGTTGCCACATGCGGTGGTAAGTTCTAGTGCAATAAACTGATAGATATAGGGGTACCGCAAAGAGAGAGAGAATAGAGAGGGCAGTAGCGACGCGCTGGCGATTTGTGCCTTCCAACTTTGCTCGTTGAGTAGTACCCTCCTTCCCCACTGCGACACGTCCAAGGATGTCTTCATGCATGGATCCTATAACTGCACACGTGCCACTCGGACTTCGGATTCGGGAAAGCGCCGAGTTGTGCCGGCTGCATGAATTCGGCAAAGACAACAACCTCGAGTGCACCGCGCAAAACGTGGAAAGCAACACTCCACATACACCTTTTCACTTTCATTCGTTACTACTGAAGGATACCGCACTCTCACACAGATTCAATCCTCATCATATTCCCTCTCTACAGACTTCGCCACTGACCGACATCCGGTCGGCGTCGGAGAGAATACCATAGATAAAAACTCTGAGATTAGCTTCAAAGCATCTTGCAGCTCTTAAAGCCCAGCAGCGGAATGGTCTTCTGCACCCCTCCCCCATCAAACCGTGTGCAAGAAACGGCTCGAAACAACCTCTTTTCTCACTCGCGCCCGGTTCCGTCCGGGCTCTCAATACCTCGTGCCACGCCCTCGCAATCTACTCCTCGCAAAACGTGAGCAGCGCATGCGCGTCAATATACGCCTCCTCCTTGAGCCTCCGCCTGCCCTGGAGCGACTCGGACATAATTTCCATGACTACCGCGACTTCCACGATCGTCGCCCCCGCCAGTCGCAGCAAGTTGCACGCCGCGGTCGCCGTACCGCCGGTCGCCAGCAGGTCGTCGACGAGCACCACGCGCGGGCTCGTCACGCGCGCGGTGTCGAACGAGTCCGACGCAACCTCCAGCGTGTCCTTCCCGTACTCCAGCTCGTAATCTTCTGACAGAATTGAGCTGGAACCCTCCGGACCCGGCGGGATCTTCCCCTTCTTTCGCACCATGATGAACCCGCAATTCAGCGCGTAGGCGACTGTCCGCGTCCGCGCGCGACCGAAAAAGAACCAGGAAACGGAATACTGTTAGTCGCAACTCGTTGCATGGAGCGCGTGCCCTCCGCCTAACGTGGGGGGGGGGGGGGGGGGGGGGGGGGG